TGTCCTATTTTTCTGTCAGTGGTTCTGGTTTGTACCGATTTGTTGTCTGTTGTTGATGAGTCAATCAAGCCTTCTTTGCTCCCCCTTTAGGTCCTCAAATCTGATGAAAATCTTGCATATTGCTGTTGTTACTGAAGTGGAGTGATCACTTTATGGCTCAGTTCTTTCTGCAGTCCGACTGAATTGTTTACAACGAACAAACATGCGATGTACTGTATGAATACTTTATATCACATGGCTGTATTTGATGATACTATCCTCTTTGATACAATGTAAGAGAAATACAGAAGTTGCGTATCTGTTTTTCTATTGAAGTCATTAGTTCCTAGGGAGTAATTTGGTACTGAACTGTTTTTGTATGTTTACATCCACATAAGTAGAAAGATCATCAGCTTTTTTTTTTTTGCTGCCTCATTTCTGAGAGTTCATATAAAAAGTACAGTGGGGGATGAAGGGAAATGTAGTTCAGACCACTAGGTTTGTGCACCTTCAGAAGCCAAGTAAGCACTAAACCCAGTTTGTCACGTGATGATTATCTTGGAGGGAAGGTCATGTTTTAATCTTATAAGATAGTGTAACGTTCATCCATTTTCTGTACACCGTTGTCCCTTTTGGGGTCAGAAGAGGTGCTGGTGCCTATCTCCAGCTAACGTTTTGGACGAGAGGCGGGATACACCCTGGACAGGGTGCCAGTCTGTCACAGGGCAACCCAGCGACAGGACAAACAACCACGCACACACACGTTCACAAAATGAGTTAATTCATTGAAGTTCTGAAATTGTAATTATTTTTAGTGAAGCTCTCATCACGTTTTTATATGTATCATCACTGTGCTGATCTTCACCTACTGAAGGTTTAATGCAGCTGCCTTTAAGGCCACTGAAGATCAGCAGATGCAAAGTTGGCTGCTTTTTAAAAATTTCTCAATGAACAAACTGGCAGGTTTAATAAGCTGTTGTACACGTGCACGCGTTCTCCTGTGGTCTCCTCCGTTCAATGCATGCTGCATGAGACAAGCACACAGCTGTAATACTTGACTGCATGGTATACCGGCGTTGCTGCCCTGTACTGTGTTTTCTTGTGCAAAGAATAAACTTTGTATTTCTCTTTGACGCCTTTGTTTTCTTGACTTGATTTGTTGAAACCAGGTTTTATGTCAAACTGTGGATGATGTTACTATAGGCTTCTGTTTATTGGGTATTTGTCTATTGCAGAGCAATAAGGTTTATAAAATTACATTTGACAATATAAAAAACTGGATTCAAGAAATTAAAGCAAATGTTCTGTACTTTCAGATCTTACCTTATATATTCACGAACGTGATGAATGTAAAATGTGCTAAAATGTTCTCAAAGTAAAGAAAATAACCTCTGTTACATAAGTTTTAAGAAAAAGGCAAAAAAAGGTACACTACTATTGTTTTTGATCCTTCTTGACTAAAGGAAAAGTCAACTTCTTACTAAAATGTTTGTCTCTTTCAAATGAAAAGAGAAGCAACAGTAAAGCAAGCAAAAATAATCTTAAGTGTGTAGCAAAGTTGATTTACTGCAAAAATTAGAACTGTATGAATGTTAGGGAAAAGTTTGAAATTAACAGTAGGACATACTTGTATATTTCCCCTACAAATAAAAGGCTATATCCCTACTAAAATTTAACAACAGTTACTGCTAGTGAATGTGGCTAAAGATAAACTAAATTTTGAATTCTAGAGGAAGAAATTAAGGTTTCCACAGATTTTTAGATTACTTTTAAAACTATATCGTTGTTGCTGTATCAGTTCATTTTTGGTACCAATATAGGTAATTAGCTCAAAAGGGAAAATCAACATTATAACTCGAGTAAATTACATACTCTGTATATTATCTTTAATTATCTTTGTAGATATGGATGACTCCTCTAACAACTGAGTCATCTCAGTGCTTCTGCAGATGTCAGGATTCTGTTCTGTGACAAAAAGTGGAGTAAAACATGCATTTTAAAATTACATAAAATTGTGAGTCCTTAAGCGTAAAACAGACACTCTCATTTAAAATAAAAACCCGTTAATTAATTAAACAAGAGGTAAAACGTTGTATTGTACTTCTCTTTTGAATCCAGCAGTTCTCCTATGTGGCAGGTGGGTGTCACTGCTGAGCTGAGGAGCTCTGTGACACCACAGAAGAAGCTTCGTGTCCTTCACAACAACAGCTAGCATGGCTACTGCTACTAAAATCATCCAGAGGCTTCGAAATTTTCTGGCTGGGGTAAGAAATAAAGTTATAGTCATAGAGCTAAAATAAACTTAGATAATCTGGATTTAATTTATTAAATGGAGTCCTGGTGATGATAAATCCGGACGGTTAGCCCACCGAAGCAGCGGTTCTGTCAGCTAACTTTGAACAGTGTTAATGAGAAGCAAACTCTATGTAGATTTGGTTTAAATGCAACGTTTGCCCTCCATAAACATAAACCTTCTTTTTTTTCCCCCAGCATGACCTGCAAGCCAAGCTGCAGCTGCGTTACGAGGAGATATCAAAGAGGTAATGTTTAATCCACCATGCTGTGAAATGTGGAGTTATTTTTCGCCCAATTTAACTACAAAGAATACCTTAATTTTGACAACACCTGCAGCTACCATTGCATAAATGGTAGATAGTCTGTAGGAAGATGCCGTCCTGCAGGACCGGATGTCCTGTACTACGTAAACACACCTGGAATGAATAATGAAGACATTACTACCTGGATTTTTAGGATACAAAGCAGTTATTTGATTCAAATGTGTTGGACCAGAGACACATTTAGAAGTATCTAGTATCCAGATAGGTTGTCACTGCCACATCCTCTTTTGACATAGATTAAAGGGTTTGTTTCCATCTTTAAATTGAACCCAAAGTTGTTTCTGGTTCCCAAAGTATGTGCATGTTTGCCATTGTTTAAGGTTGGAATTTAATACACAGATTATGTACAAACCACAGATCTCAATGCTGCCAAATTTGTAATTTATTGCTACACTAACTACTTACATGTTAGTCAGTGAATATATAGCCATTATATGCAGAAAATTTTAAGTTACTTGACCTAAAATTCTGCATTCTTAAGACATGAATTCATAAAATGTAACAATTTGAAAAGATTACCATTTAGCATCTGTTGGCTCCAGATTGCCACATACAGTCAAGCTACAAATCACGCACACCATCCTGGCTTTACAAGATTGAAAAAAGTAATAACACTTTAAAATAATTTAAAGTGTACAAAAACCCAGCCCACAGATTAGACACATCTAGATAAAGAAAAATAATTAAAAGCCAATTTGAAGTTTCACACAGATTCAATGCAGTAAAATCTTTGAAGGTGGCGTTACTGATGTCTGTCCATGTTTTACAAGGACCCAGCCACCACCTAAGCTGCCCGTTGGCCCGAGCCACAAGTTTGCCAACAACTATTATTTCACCCGAGACGGCCGGAGAGAGTCAGTACCTGCCACGATCGTGATGTCTTCACAGAAGGCTCTTACTGCTGGGAGGTAAAATAACATTTTCTGACTTTTTGAGCATGTTAAGCTCCACCAGTGTTAAAGTAAACCATTTACGATTCGTAAAGACAATAGATCTATTCCACTTTTCAAAGAGGTAATTTACTTTTCATGTGTGAATTTCTACTGTTATTTTCTTTTAACAATGTTTCATATGTTTTAGCGAGATTGCTAAGACAACAAAGGGTCTTGTGACGCCTGGAGCTGTTTATCAACCCCCACCACTGTCCACAGATCAGCCGTACCTCTGAGCAGCAACATGAGCCTCCTGATTACTTCTGCTGTTGTTGTATCTTGTACAAAAGAATAAATTGTGAATAAAATGTTATTTGTTTCAAGTTTTTGTTTCTGATTTATTCATCACAACTATGTAAGGATATGACATATTATAAATTCAGACATAAGAATATATCTAGTTGAACAAAATTTCTGCCAGTCATGTGAATTAGGACAAGCTTTTTGTTACTAACTTGCAAGTCAAAAATCTTCTTAACTGTCAACTTTACCCCATAAACAAAGTAAAGAGGTCAAACTGATATTGAAAGGTAACAGTGAGTTACATAAGCTTTATTTACAAAATAAAGTTGGTATGGTATGTGTTTGTGATTGATGACATTTGTCAAAACAAGTGAATAAATTGGTATCGGAAAACAGGGCTTTATTGTGGAAGTAGTTTTTAATATCAGAGCACTGAGATTTGTATCAAAACATGGATGAACTCTGAATAGTTGAGTAAAATAAACTGGATTTTGTTTGTTTTGCTTTGTGTTTTTATTTGATTTTGGTTGGTTTAGGATATGAGAAAATATACACAGAATTTTTTTCAAAAACATGTAAGAATATTTTATTTAGCACCTAATTTAAAATGACTAAATATTGCTCTAATGAAATTCTCTAAAACACTAGTTTATATAAAATTCTGTTTAAAAGAAAAACTAAAATATATGCCTACATTTGAAATTGATGGGCCAAATAAGTAAAGAAAATGTAAAATATTAGTTGGTCGTTGAAAGATTATGAACAATAAAAGGTGTTGGGTTTTTAATTTTAATATCTTTTAAAAAACAGAATTCTCAAGGGTGTTTATGTTTGCTTTTATTTATAAAACGTGAAAAATGTTAGATGGGACATTTTTATTCATGATTGTGAGATTTGGCGAGTAAATAATCTGAAGTAGTTCAGTAATAACCTCTGTGTTGCTTTAGTTGTCCACTGTAAAAAAAAGCCAATTGGGCACTTTTTACAAGAAAAATCACAAAGCATAAAATGTTGCAGAAACTTTCATCAAAGACGATAAAAACACCAAATAAATATTTCTAGATAAAAAAAAAAAAACAGCTCTTTTTTCATCCGTCTGCTTAAGATCTTGGATGGAATAAAACTATGAAGTATTTTAGAGCAGATGTTAAATCTTTAAAAGCAATTATTATTTGACAGGTTACAGCGTGGGGCTATTGCGTCATATTTCCGCGTCATTCGGGTCCTCGCTGCTGAGGACGGGTCCGGCATGGGGCACCTTGGAGGCTCATTTCTGCTGATCGCTTTGCCCATTTTGCTTCATATTCGGGGTAAGAGGCATCAGTTATACATGCACGACAATCACAACAGATGTCTCCTTGTGCTCGTGTTTTTGCTCTGTGGATGGCGGACTGAAATGTGTCTGCAGGCGGTCGTGCTGTCGCTTCCTTACTGGCTTTGCTTCACACCTGCAGTAAACTCGTCCTGTTATTTGATCTCCAGGTGTCCGCTGCAGGAAATCAAACTTTCATTTCCAGAACGTGGCATGTGCATGATAGGACTTAAATTTGCATGGAATAAGTTTGAAATTTATTTTCATTTATTTTGGGGGTAAAAATCTAAATGTTAGTGGGAGCGGCTCTGCGTGCTGCGACCATCACAGTAAACTCCGAGTGAACGTCTGATAGTACAATTCATTAAAAAAATACTTTATTTATTCCAAATACAATATTGTCCTAATTCAAAATCATACAAGTATCTTCAGAAACTCATTGTGTGTTGTGAAGCTGTATGTATGTCCAGTAGCAGTCAGTCTTGGAGCAAATATGAATCTGTCTGGCCATGTGAAGAGAAAGCTGAGCAGAGAAATGTTGGAGTCGGGGATCTGATCCTTGTGATAGATGGAAGAATAGATATGAACGTCTTCCTCTATCTTTTTTTGATATGTTGTGCTACTGCCTCCTTTTCAACTCCTCTGGGATTTTGTTTCGAGTTGAAGTTTTAATGGAGCCTTTAAAATGCTAATTCCTCTGAATCCAGCTGGGAAAAATGCTTTTTAGGCTTTAATCATTTATGGGTAATTCACTAGTGACTCTTAAATATAGTTGTTATTCAGATGGTGCATTTCTGTCATCCCTCTGTACGTTAATGAAAAAGCTAAGAGAAAGTAGATATTAAAGAGCCAGTAACCTATAATTCTTAGAATTGTATGCATGACCATTTCAGTCCAAAACAATGTTACAATAACTTACCACAACCTCTCACTTTTTTCCAACTTTCACTTGGAAAAAAATGTGAAACAGTTTTTCATATTTTGTAGATATTTTTGAAATATAAGTGCTGGCAGCAAATTCTAAAATTTCTAATCAAGTCATGGCAAAATGTAACAAAGCAAGGTTGGTTTACAATCAGATTTAAATATAATTGATCTGATCAATATGTCATATTTAGCTTGATGGATCAGAAAAATACCATTTAAAATTATTTTAAAATTATGGAATGATTTCACACAAGTACGTCTAAATCCTCTTGTTTAGTTTACAAAACATAACACTGAAAAAGATATGTTTGGTTGTCAGTAAAGCTCCATTTTATGCAATCTGAGTGAAGTATTTCTTTATTTAAGTTGTTAGAAATAGGAGACAATTAAAATGAAACTGCATTTTAGTGATTTCAGTCAAACTCATTGTGTTTAACTCATTGTGTTTAACCCATTAAGCATCTTCTTGTCAGATAATTTGAACCATGACATTAAAACTGTGTTGCATTTGTGTGTTTCAGGTGCTGCATCTCACTCTTTACCTGCCTGTGACCAGCAGCTGGAGTTTACATGCGATGATGGATCGTGTTTATCAAAGCTGAAGTTGTGTGACGGCCACACAGACTGTGCTGATGGATCTGATGAGCACCATTGTGGTGAGTTCATGGTCTGCAGGGATTTTTAAATAACATAGAATAGGAAACCTCAGTCTTTCTAAGGAATAAATTTATGTGTAAAGCGATAGATTTAATACAAGGGATTTTAGTGCAAAAATCCAAACGTAGCACCAGAGTCATGAGATTCAGTCAATGCCTCGAATTCATAAAGTACAACTAATCTGCACTTAGTTCAAACAAGAGTTGTCGGGGACAGATTAGATAAAAGATGAATTCCCAGAATATTCCCAGCTTCTCCAAAGTCATTAGTGACATTTTAACCAAGCCCTCAAAGTCTAGCAGGCTCAAGGCTTTATTAGATTAATCTGATTATGGTGATAGGTTCAGTCTTACTGTTTTTTTTTTGTTTTTTTTTTAATAGTTCATTATTTTAAAAACACACACACAATACTTTCTAACATTTCTGCACATCATCTCTGAAAACCATTATGCTGAACTTTTAAACCTTAATGTGATTTTCCAGTTGCATGGCTGGCAAAGTGTTGCTCTTTCTTTGCAGCAAAGATCACTACACAGATACTGTTTGGGATTATTATGTTCTAATCCCTCTGAGGGCTTAGAACATGTGAGGCCTGAGTGCAAAGTTTCAGAGGAATCTCATGTAAAGTTCAACCCTTCAAACCTGCAGAGCAGAGCTCAACAGGAGGGAAACTTTCTTACACCTTCCAGGTGTTAAACATAAATACTGATATGTGTAAAGCCAGCAGGTTTGAATATCTGATCTACAGCGAGGAGCTCTAGGAGAACATAAAAACAAGTAGAATGGAAAAGTTTAGGAATATTTTCTATGTGAGAAAAAGATGGATCTATTTAGGCACAAACCGCAGAGTATGGTGGCTCCAGAGCTTAAAGGCTCTAAATAACTTTGACTAAAATTAGGAAAGAAGTAATCATTTTAAATATAGGTAAAATCACAAATTTAGATTTTAGCTATGTTTTATTTTGATAAATAATTGCATTGAATTTTCACAGTGACACTAAAAGTGCATGTAATACTATTTTAGATCCAGTTTAATTTTTGTTGAGAATATTTTTACAGAATCCCATATAAGATGTATAAAAAAGTTTTCTAAAGTGAACATTTATTTAAAAAAAAACACATTATAAGTTGGTTTTATTAAGTATATTTGTTCCTCTAAATGAAATCTATTCAGCTGAACAGCTGAACTGCACCCCTGGGTCTTTCTCCTGCGGGCCTACCGAGGCCTGCCTGCCCAGGAACAAGCTCTGTGATGGGTGGAACGATTGCAGAGATGGACGAGATGAAGCCCAGGACCTGTGCGGTTCAGTCCAGGCCTCTCCTCAGAAGTCCTCAGCTTGTGCAGCCTCAGAGTTTCGGTGTGGAGACGGAGCGTGCATCCGGCATGCATGGAGGTGTGACCACTCCTCGGACTGCTCTGACGGCAGCGATGAGGAAAGCTGTGGTAAGTGAGGCATCTGGATGTACATTGCACAGAAATTTACAAAATATTCACTTTGCAGAACCTTTTCTACTTTTTAAGTCAGAAAAACAACAGCAAAATATTTTGCCATTGGAAAAAAAATCAACTTCAGAGAATAAAGAAAAGAAAAAAAAAAACAACTCTCCACATGTAAATGTGTTGGCTCTACCAGTTCTGATTTATCCAAATGTTATTAATGGAGCCCTTGTAGAATTTTTAGTAGGGTTAAAATTCACCTCAAATAAAATATGAGGATAGGAAGAGGAGAAGAGTCTGGAAATGATGGAGACCTCAACAGTGGAACAGAAATTGGGCTTGTAAAATTCTAGCAAGTCATAAATCTTAAATTGGGCAAATCTTAACAACTTTGGTCTCCAAATGCTCATTAACCAAAAAGCAATAAGTTTGGTTAAACAAAAACTTTTTAACCAAACAAGAGGTTTGGTTAAAATGGCAGCTAGTCTTCAAAATGCCTTGTGGAAATAAGGATGTTGCTGTTTTGCTGACCACCAGCAGAGGGCAATCAAGTGATTCTTCTGATAACTGGCTTTGAGAACTTCAAGTATTAATAAGTTTATAAGTAAACTTATTAATGTTTAGCTATAAAGACTAAACATTTCAGGTGTGCATTTTTAAATGAATTCTTAAAGAATTACTGACTGGCTTCTGGTAATGGTTTAGAAACAGAATTGTTGCTGTCTGTTCGAAATGCACTTTGTTTGAGATCTACTTCTTGGTCTCAGATGGTAAAGACAGAAGTTACTGGAATTGACACCATAAATAAACAATAACTTCTCAGAAAATAACTTTTGTTGTCCCAGAAAGTGTGAATCCTCTGAAACAGATCTCTGTTGTCTGCTTGACTCTCTGCAGCCTTTTAACAGTTCTGGAGACAATAGGTTTTGGACTATATTTTTATTGTATTTCAGTCTATATGTCTATAATTATAAACAACAGAGATAACAAAAGCTAAGACTATTGCAAGTCATAGATACATCAGTATATTAGTTTGTTTTTTTTTTTTAACACTTTTAGCTCCTCTGATACCCTTTAAAACATTAATGTCAAATGTTCATGCAACACTCTTCCAGTAGAGTGTGACTCGCTCAGCCACAGGCATATATAACCCTATCACATGTGTGGCGTTGGTTGTGAATTTGGATAGTTATTTATATGTCAGCTTAAAGGCTGGTATGTAAAGCATGAAGATTGTTTGGTATGTGGTTATTTTTATGTTATGTTTAAAGCTGCTGTCATGGTATGTTTAAAAAAAATGAAAGTGCTTCAGTTGTAAAATAGAAACAAAGCATTTTAAAAAACACTTCATTAAAACAGAAACCCTCAGTTTCCCTCGGTTATTACAACAATATAAATATAAATGAACAATAACAACTTTAACTCATTGTTCATGAGTTTGGACAAAAATTTGTGCCAAGTGGGATTTTGTTTTGTCTGAATCTTAAGCTAAGTGGTGAAATTGCTCATTCGTATTGGGGGAGTTGTGATTTTTACATGTATTAAAGCAAACAAACAAAATTATTTGTTTGTTTGTTTTGTTGCCAAACCAAATCATTGTCTGCCAAGTTTAAAGAATAGTATAAACACATTTCCTAATGCTAAAACAGCAGAGCTTTGCATCCTGTGATGCAAAGGGCATCACAGGTTTAGGGTTGGAGATGCACCACAATCCATGTCGGGCACATCAATGCTGCAGGCATATCTGCTGGCTGTGCTGTTATCAAGGTATAAACATTTGGTAGGAAGGGATGGTGGAGATCAAGGAGCCGTATCAGCAGAAAAACCAGTTCTTGAACTTCCTGGCCCATCCCTTTCTTATCCTTTAAATGTTTTGCACATGACATTGAAAAGAGCTGCATATTGTTGATTTCTATGCTTGTGATTTAAAAAATATATATTTGTTGTGTATGTCTACTGAATGAACAGTAGAAGTTCCATTAAAAATTGTATTTGCCACAAATCACTAAACTTATGTATTAGAAAAAAGTCCAGATCTGTTTATAGAACACATACAAAAACAATGTCTGCTTCTCAAAGACTTAGAAAGGAGCTCAGAGATAAGAATGCATTAACCTTCATTGACAAAAAGATAAAACAAAATAGTCAGTGCCCGAATGAAAAATGTAAAAAAAACAAATTTGCAAATCTAGTGGAATGCAAGTTAGAAATGTTGAAGAGTATTGTTAAGAACGTTATTATCGGTGTTTGGTCTTGCAGATATCAGCAATCAGGATGAATGTCAGGACAATAACGGCGGCTGTTCCCATTACTGTTTGGACCAGCCCTTTGGTTTCCTTTGCCGTTGCCCGGACAACATGAAGCTGGTCGATGACAGCCGCTGTGAAGGTGAATGGCCTCAATTTATTTTGCTGCGGACAACACCGTCACTCTCAGCTTATGGCCAATACGGGTTCTGGACCTGTTCATTAATGTTTGCATGTTTATATCGTCTGGTTTTACTATGCAGCGTTCTGAGAAAAGTGCAGAATACTGTATGGTCACTCTCCTTATGTTTACTCAGTCATCGCTAATCGATGTCTGTTTGCCAAAAATATGTTTGCTTGATGTCATAGAAGTCGATGAGTGCCTGGGGAGTGACATCTGTGACCAGCTGTGCGTCCACAGAAACGGCAGCCTCACCTGTGAATGTCAAGAGGGCTACCACATGGACCCACGGACCAAAGAGTGCAAGGCCGAGGGTGAGGCCAGTCATTTCAATCAAAAACCACTGACGCCATTATAACCTGCATGTTTTTCATATACAACTCCCACAACACTTACTGGTCCGGAAGAGGATTAGAGTTATTAAGAATAATTCTGATTTCAATCTAAGATTTCCATAAAAGTTTATTTTTTTGTGATAAAACAATGATTTTCTCAGATGGTAAAGCTTTCCTTTCTTCTCGCCAAAGAGCATCCTATTCCTGTAAACCTGAAAATATTTCAGGTTTTCTTAAAGTGGCTTAAGAACTGCTTTGATGGCAGTTCTGGGTTTAGGGTTAACCAACAACCCGTCAGATTGACCTCTTTTCTTTATTACAGTCACAGCAGGCAATCAAAGGCAAATGACACTCATGTTAGAACAATAATTTTTTTACGGGGGAGTTTTATGTGTTTTTCAGGATCATGATCCCATTTTAGAGGACAATCAAGTCATATGTTCCCTTCAGTTGCTACAGAAATGGTTTATATATTAATCATGACTTAAAAGAAATTTAAGTCCAGTCTGTCAGGAGAATGGAAGCTCATTTTCCCTTTTAGCCAAATCATTATCCCCCTAAAAGACCAAACTTTAGTTTTCTTGCACATTTCTCTTTGAAATAGGTAATGTTCCATGTCTTCTAGCAATAATCCATGGGCTTTTGAAAGAGAAATTGGCCCACAGCATTAGAAATCCTTCACTGTGCGCAACAATTGAAAAGGGGAATTTCTTTTGACTTACTGATTGAATTTCTCGGAAATGTGATACAAAAACACGGAAGCTTTGCTTTGGGAAAAATGCCATCATGGTGTCATGTGTAGGATGGGAAACATTAACCAGGAGTGGCATTTTTGTAGTTCTGTCTCACACCACTGGCAATGGGTTATTGGGTCATCCTGGGGACAGATGGGTTTTCCTGATCAGCTTAGCCAACATTTCCTCTCAAATCTTGGTAAGATGCTCTGGCAAACCACAGCGCAGCACAGTGTTTCCCAACCCTGGTTGTCAAGGCACACTGCCCTGCATGTTGAAGGGGTTTCTTTGCAGGTGATTTCAGGTATTTACTGAACTCCACTCAGCTGAATCATGTAAAGCAGGGAAACAGATAAAACATACAGGGCATAAAACAACAGATAAAACATGACCAGGGTTGGGAAACAATGGCGTAGTGTTTAATCTTACGTTAAAAAATCAAGATTAAATGCAACTTTATCCTCAACTTATCTTAGTGCTACCTGCTATTATAATAGTCCTCTATCAATCCTCCAGCATGACATCACGGACAGTATCACCACAGGAAAAGCCTGGATCCTTGATGACAGGAACTCTGGGGTCTCTGCTTTAGTGTGGGAGGTTTGGGAGAGAGGCTGGGAAAGCTGGTTTTATAGCAGGAGTCCCTGCAGTGGAGACATAAATAAAAATCTTTCCTGACACCAATGTGCAGCCCGTGGTTAGCCGTGTACATCATTGCCCTCATAGTACAGTGAAAAAGAAAATAAGACAAACAACCCAAGACTTTAAGAGCACAACAATTTGGATTACAACACTTGCTGAAAGTAATGGGTTTGTGGTCTCATTGCTAAAACGCTTTTCCCACCCTCTTTTTCTCTCATCAGATTTCAGTTGTTTCTGAGGTGGTATCACTTCATTTTGTTTGTTCTAAGACTGAATTAGCATGAGCATATACCGGTACAGTTCTGGTCAGGGGTTTACAGGCACTTTTGTGCTTTTGATTTTAAAGTAAAATTACAGGAAACAAACAACGTCTTTGGATCCTCCCTTCATTTTAGGTTGAGGTTAGATTTTTGGAAAAACCATTCCAGAAGCCAATTTTTTTACATTTGAAAACCTATTATAACTGTGTTTGCTGTCTTTGTCTTGTTGAAAGACCCAGTTTTTGTGCTCAGCCCTATTGTACGTGGCCAAATATATTTCTAACACAACATTTCAATAAATTATGAAATCATGAAACAGTGAAGTCAAAAATTCAGTTCAGAAAATGAGGCTAAGTGACGGATTCATTACCCCCAGTTTGTTAAAGTTGTATTTATTTTCGTAAAATTTTTTTGATTCTCTTAAAGCTGATGAGAAGCAGAAATTCATCTTTTTATAGAAGCAGAATATCAAAATGTATTTTTAATAAAGGAATGATGTGCAGGGTAAAAAAAAGTCTGAAGATTTTTGTGAAAGACAGCTGGCTTAAGAAATATTTTAACATCTGCGCCTAATAAAGCAGTCAGGATGTCCGTGTAAATATAATCAGTCTGTTACTGATCATGTTTTTACCACTATTGCTAGATTCTGAAGCTTGTATAATTTTTATTGTTGTGCTGGTGTTGTTTTTTTCTATTATTATAAAGAAAATTGGGTTGAGCAAGAGAGGCTACAATGTTATCATTTTGTTTTGCTCAAATTAAACAAGGAAAATCTTAATAATTCTTTACATTTTCCAGGAAGTGAAGCTCAGCTGGTTTTCAGCTCTTCAAAAGGAATCCAAGTGAAAAATCTGATTAACAAGGAGTATTCGATACTGGTGCCTCATTCAGTGGGACATGGTCCAATAGCGGTCCTGACTTCCACCCATAATGCGTACTGGGCGGAATGGGGACGCAACTCCATATACAGGTAACAACTAGAGCTTTGCTCGGCATCTTTAACTTCATCCTGAATGTTTTTTCAGGTCAGATTGACATGAGAACTTCTCTATTGTGTGTTTGATCAGAACTGTTCAACTGGATTAATAAAACACTTATGGTTGATGGTGTTGAGCTATTTGAAAAGGTTTATATTCATGTTCATATGTCTTCAAATAAGTTAAAACAACACCACTAAGAAAAAATTTTAGCATTTTACGGTTCTTAAAATGAAGTTTTCTCTGTGCAGTGAGGGAACATTCTTTCGTTTTGCTTGTCATGCAATATGTGTGTGCTGTCAAACTCTGCCCTTCACTTACAACCTTCAGTCGATGCAAACTATTCTGTCCGTGCCTGTACAGAAAAAATGAGCCTTTGCATGCAGAATGATGCAGTGGAAAGTGGTTGGAAAAAAAAAAAAGATTTCCTGTGTGTGTGTGTGTTTCCCTTCAGGGTGTGAAATGTGTGTGTAAGCACATTTTGATGGCGGATAGCCCCCACATCTGTTCCCTCTCTCTCTTTCTTCAGCCAGTTGTTCCACAGAGCTTCTGGTTAGCTTCTTAATTGTTTTTGCTTTCTATTTTGGCGAACACAGACATGCTGCAAAGAAGAAAATCTGTGAAATTACATTCTTAGTTGAAGCTTGCATGCTTTTCAATCCTTTCTGACAATGTGCAACCCTGACACCTCATCTAAATAATCATGTTTAGCTTTGTACGATTGGAACAGGTACAAGCAAACCTTTCATTGTAATTTGTTTGTGTGTGTGTGTGTGGGTGTGTATGTGTGTGTGTGTGATTTTTAGGGCAGTTGGAGGGAATATATGAAAAACTAGCTAACAGAAGTCAAAACAATGTCATATTATCAGCATCTCGCATGGCATCCTGTTTCTTGACTTTTTAAATGAACCTGAATAAGATGAGTAAGAATCCTTCATTTATTCTTTTCATTTCAGTGTTGAAATCTGATCTTTACAACGTCAGATATTTTCTCTTTAAGTTGAGGATAAAATCGGTGTCGGCTGTTCTTGAGGAAAAATATAAACTGGCATAATATGTAAGCACACAGCCTCATGGACAAGATACAAATATGCACTATAAAATGAACAAATGCTTTGCAATCTCCAAAAGGAGAGTCCAGAGAAGAAAAAATTTCCATTTCAAGAAAACATTTCAAAATTTTTATTATTTTATTTTAAGAAAGAGGACATGCAAAATAAAACAAGAAATACTTCACCTTGAGTTTTTGTTCTGATTTGAATATTTTTTGGGAAATTCACATCCGATGTTCGTGTTTTGGAAAAATTTTAACCGTGTCGATAAATTAATAGATTCTGGAAGGAAAATATCAATGATATCAGCTAACAATTAATTCAGTAAAACATGCAAAAGAAAACAAAAGCATTGAAAAGAGTGAATATTCATAGGTTTTATTATGATGGTGGAGAGTTATGAAAGCCAAGGGAAAATGGCAAAAGACCAACATTTTAATCTACCATCAAACAGGCAAACAGAATTCAAATTTCCTGGGAAATAGAAAATGCGTTTTATTTATTTTATTTCTTTCTAAGTTTATCAGACACAACTTCCTGGTTGTTTCTGATAACCAGGAAGTTTGTCGTTTAAAGAAGGGACTTTCCCTTTGTCTGATGAAAATCTGTCAAACTAAAGAAGTGAACAAACAACATGTCTTTCAAAGTGAAAGAAATGTTGGAGATATTAAGATTTCCATCCAAGCATGCTCTTCAATGGAGCTGTACTAAGTACGGTACAAGTTCAAACAAACGCTTCATTTACTTCTGATGTGATTACTTGGGAAGCTGGGAATTACATCACAGTGAACTAAGTTGTTTATTTGTATGTGAGAAAGTAAGTTTGATTTGGTAAGTTTTAATGAACTGGCTAATGACGGAAAACAGTCCAGCCACGTATTTTCCTGCATTAGATCAACTAAAGCAACATGCAAAAAATACCAGTTGTGCATTCATTTGTGACTTAATGAAAACATTTCCCTTTTTCACAGATTATTCAATGTGAAGTTAACTGCTGGTTGTTAAGTAACCAGCAGTTTACCTGTTGACTGTTTGGAGCAGGAAAATTATGACTTCAAAGTAAAAATAGACGGAGATAAAAAGAGATGGAGGAAAAGACAGAAGTTTTTAATAAATTCCATTTACCTTACTCTGGGTCCGAGTTCTGATTGCACCTTTCCCGTTGTATTTATCCTTCCAAATTAAAATAATTCTGCCAAACTATTTAGACCTTGGTAGAATGTTTCAAATTTGCATCATAATTTGTCTTTTTAGAAACATGGCTTCGTATGTTTTGTAATAAGTCTAGAGAAATTTGAATCAGTCTGATGCTGTTTCATGATTTCTGGTTTAGATCACGTATCGAGTCTTGTTTATTATAGCTGTTCTTCTCTTTTAATCAATTTAAGGCTGAGTTAAATGGAAAAGAAATTCTGTTTTCATGCCTGAGTGAAAGAAGAGAGAAAATTTAGAGTAGCCAGTGACGAGAGTTTGTTCTACCAAAGACTAAAATGATTCAATTTCCTTGGACTAAAATGTGGGTTTTTCTCTACTGCAAATGCCTTTCTTGATTTATGGAAGTATTTTAAATGCTAATGTTCAAGATTTATTATCACCTAAAACCTCAGAGAAGTTAAAAACAAATCAACGGATCAAAAAGTCATGGCCCATTTTTGCTCTGTGTTTATTTGCAGGGTTTCCTGTCTGTTGATGCTGCATGTCTCCTCTGTAAGATAAATTCATAGATATAATGGAATGAGTTGATTTACTATCTTCGTCCTTCTTGTCCTGTGGAAATGTGGAACGTTTTGATCGGTCATGAACACTGACTTTTGTCTCCATAAGATTGTGTGGCGGTACTTATCTTACTGGGTTGGTTCGACTCACTGCTCAAGGCTGAAAAGTTTTAACGTCCTGGTAGAAAATGTTTGAGTTTTTACAAATGAAAGAGTAAAGTTTGATTTGAATATTAAGGCTCCTCTCTGTCTTGAAATTGGGTTTTGTGATGAGGATAGAGGGTGGAGAAAATGTGTTTTAATGAAATTAAAATGATTTATTTAATTCAGGTTCATTTTTGTCTTCAGACTTTAGCCAATCTATTATTTTTTGCTTTCATGGAGTTCTGAGGCCTGGAAGGTTTTCCAATCCTGTTTCATTGATATCCTTTGGATTGAACTGATTGCTGATTACACATGATTATGCAAAATATATACCGATACCCTTCAAATGATCAAGTCACTTCGTCAACACAATGACCTCTGCTGTTTTTCCTGTATGGTTGCTGGCAGAGTAATGTCTAACAGAGTCATTCATGCTCACACCTGGTTTCATCCCTTGTGAGTTCCTCCTTATTTTCACAACACACCGTTCTGGGCAGCCCCAACGCATGACATACTATGCTCCAGGCTCCGGGCCCAATTAGCAAGTACCTATCTACCTGCTAAGACACCAGAACACAATCACTCCACCAGAGAATTGATTTGGCGCATGCGCTGTTATGATGCTAACCAAGAAAGACCGAAGTGAAAATGTCCAACTGCCCAGATGAAAAATCTAAATACCTTTGGAAGAAATGTTTTATGGTCAGACAAGACAAAGGTTGAGCGATACATGTCATGCATGGTGGTGGTAATGGTATGTTCTGGGTTGCTTTGCAGCCATTTTTACAGATCGATTGCACAAAGTGGATGAGGAAAGACTGCCTCCAAATCTTTCAACTTTACCTAAGTTGAACAGCAAAAAAAAGTTCACATTTTTACATTAAAATTTAAGTTTTATTTTGAATAAAACATTTAATCTGCCTTATGTTGATGTTTGATATGACATTCATTCCTAAGATGAGTGTCCACAGATTTTTGATACAAGGTATATATTTTCACATTTTATCTTTCAGGATGTCAATAGATGAAAATACTAAGGAAGCCGTGCTGGTGTTGAAAGTTCAAAGTTCAGTGTCTGGGCTCGCTGTGGATTGGATTCACCAGCTTCTCTACTGGACCAGCGCTGAGGCAGGTTCACTTAATGTGGCGCTGCTGGATGGTTCGTTTCAACGTCAACTGATCGCCGGGCTCAACCAGCCCTCTGCGGTTGCTGTGAATCCTCTCCGAGGGTAAGACGATCAAAAATTTGAAACAAATGTTTTGTGTCATTAAAAGTAACATCAAATGGAGTCTTGATAAAATGTGAAAGAGGCATAATAAGGGAATATGTTTTAATATTTCCTCACAATAGGTTTTCTTACTGTATGAACAGAGGTAAAACAGATCTTGTATTGAGGGTTTTAGTTGCATTTTATGTCAAGTATCTTTTAACTCTTGACATACTTATTTTGAAATTTGAACTGTTCTTAATCAAATATACTTATGTACAGTAATGGCTGTCTAACATGTGAGTTGATATTAACTGTGGGATGGAACAACCTCAGAATGACTTATGAAAATTTTGTCTTGATAGGTCAAATTCGATTACCGCCTTTGTTGTCACTGTTTTTTGGGTGCTTTTCATTTTGTTCATTTACATCTAGTCAAAAAGAAACAAAAAATAATCTACATCTTCCTGAGGCTTTCACAGAACAACTCATGAAGCAAGTTGTTTGCTTCATAAGTTCATAAATAAATTGGATTTTATTTATGGCTATCGGAGTCTACTGGGCCAAATACAAGTTTATTGAAAACCTTTTTTTCTTTTTTTGTGAAAAAATTTATAGAGCCCATGTATTGCTTTTCCTAATACTTCATATTTTTCTACCACATAAAATCCCATTAGCACATGTTGAAGTTTATATTTGCAACCTAAGAAAATGTAAAATTTTTCAAGGCACTTTATCATCTAAACATTTTTTTGGATGTTTGTGCAGATATTTTCAGATGTACAAATGATGAATCTTTTAACACATTACTATCTGCAACATCAGTCAAATTAAACGCTGGCACTGACCTTACAAAGAACAATAGATGTGCTTTCCATAGATATTTTGCATAGATGTGGAAATGGGATTAAAAACAAGGAAATCTCTGAATATTTTTATTTTCCCAGCTTCCTCTTCTTGGCTCAGTGTGGCAGCACTCCAGTGATTGAGAGGATTACTCAAGATGGACAGACAAAACTTCCTTTGGTTACTTCTTTAATCCGCCGGCCTGTTGCCCTCTCTCTTGGTATGTTGGGAAATTAATCTATACAGATGAGCATGCAAATTATGTTACGTAATATAGTTGTGTGGTATAATATATTTGAAAATATAAGATATTTTCAAACATATGAAAAATATATTTCATCGTATAATATAACATATTTTCAAGTTTATAATATGATTTTATTACAAAATAATACATTTCCATCACAATCCACTCTTCTGATAAGAGCATGTAGCATTTTATATTAATAACATCACATTGTATTTTCTTGATTTTTTTATTTTTTATTTTTCAGCAGAGTCCTCCTGCCTGTGGAGGAGGACTGCATTTATCTATTTGCATGCATCTATTCATGCTTATCTGTATAGATGCATTTGCATGTTAAGCAATGAGCAAGTGCCTTCCTTGTTTAAATTTTGCATACCATTTGCGAGCACATTTTTTTCAAAAAGGTTTGAAAAATAGAAAAGTATGTTTCCTCTTTTCAACAGGAACAGCAGCAGTGTGAATTTGAACTTTATCATCAGAGGTTCAGTAGTTTATAGACCTGTCAAGTCATTCAGTCCTTCTAAATGCTGTTTTACCCTTTTGTGAAGTGAAAATTGTGTTATTATTTCTTTTGACAATTGTATTCAATTATTTTAGTCATTTAATATTAGTATTGTTCAGTCTGATAAAGTATGTAGGCCAAGAACCAGTCAGATATGTTTCCTGCTGACGTCTTTCTACAGTAGTCACGGCAGACTGATTAATGTCTCACCACAAGTACCAAAGCAAGGCGCCAAAGTTAACAGATAACAAAATACAGTTTAGGTAAATATAGTAAGATGAAATACGCCCTGAAGTCTAACAAATTTCTCCATTGAATGTCACAAGCTGAGAGTAACTACGAGGTCTGACAATGTTTTTGGTATGGAAAGTTGTTCCATTAACATCCTGATTTTTGTAAACTCATATTTTGAACAAGAAGATGTTCATCATCTAAATAATTAACTGACCTTTCAGTAAGGAAGAGGTTGCATCCTGTCCATCCTAGATTTTTCCCTCCACACCTTTAAAGTTGTTTTAATGCTTTAATGTTTTGCAGCTTCCATATTTTAAGATATAACCAAATTTCTTTCAGAAAACATTATTGAAAAAAAAAGACATTGGTTTTATAGAACACTGATGACTGACAACCTTTGTGGTTCAAATCAACACCTGGTCTATTGTTTAGATTTCAGTACCAAATCAGAAGATCTCTGGCCTCCTTGATTTAAATCAACACTTTAGAATAAATGTGTTTCACTCTGTACCTAAGTGAATGGTGGTGAATAAATACATGTTTATGAATGTTTTCCCCCTTAGATTTGCCTCGACAGTTGCTCTACTGGTTTGACCAGGGATTGAGGAGCATCTCCAGGATAGATCTTGAAGGCCGCCACCGTAAAACTGTGGTAGAATCCAATGGCTACCTGGACCGCTTATTTGGACTCGCAGTATTTGAGGTGCAAAAGTCAAAATTAGCATATGTTCACATTTCCATTTCAAGGCCACAGCTTTGAAATTTGCAGTATTAAACCACAAAAAAATATCAGACATACCCTTGTCGTTAGGGCTTGAACATTCTGTGCAATAAAATAAAAAACATTTCTGACTTGCCAGTTGACATCCATGTCTGCTCGTTCTTCGTCAGGGATCTTTATATTGGGGTGACGACGCTACACACTCCATATGTCGTGCCAACAAACACAATGGCAAAAATCTCCAGGTGATGATGTCAAACATCACCTTATCTGGCGGCTTGGTCATCGCTCATCCAGCGCTTCAACCAAAAGGTTGGACCAGTTACAACCTTCTAAAGAACCTTTATGTGTCTGCTTTTTGTTGACTTTTTAAAATAAAATCTCTAAATAATCATTTGCGTCTTCTTAGGAGCGGCTGCGTGTGGACGTCCCGGGACGGTGTGCCAACACGGATGTCTTATTAATCTGACATCAGAGAGGCAACAGTTCAGCTGTGACACTCGACAAACAAGACCCAATAAAACTCAAGTTCCTTCTATTGCTCGCTCTGTTCCTGCTTCAACTTTATCTGATCCAACGTTCGCTGGAATCCTGTCTCTTGTCAGTAAGTCATAACTCTTCCAAATATTTAATCGCAACTTCATCATGAGGAAGGAAAGTTCACAAACATTTGTTAAAGTCATGTGATTCGGTGCAGATTTAGTTAAAACAGCAAAAAGTTTAAAACCTTTACAATTCAGTATCTAATAGCTGAATTAGATGCTCTACATCAATTTGATGTAGAGCATTTTGAGGTCTGTCTGAAACTAAAAAGCCAACAATCAAAACTGTGATCAAAAATTTGATAAACATCTGCAGTCAGCGTGTTATTGTTTGTACCAATGATTGCAGCAGTCAGGCTAAGAATCAAGGCTGAAGTTGGAAAAAAAGCACAATTATCCTTTATCAAGCTTATAAAAACAGAGGGTTTCCTGGGTGTCCAGCCCCAGGCTTCAAGCGTTGGGATCCTCCCAGTTTCAGATACCGTGTCTCTGCCCCGACAGCCGATTCAAACAGTCTGACACAATCTCAAACATTATGACATCTCCTCAGCATGTCACAATGTTCTGGAGACGTCATTAGATTCAGGTGTGTTGAACTAGGCAACAAACTAAGAGCACAATCACACCTCCCCTGTTTAGCCCACTTTAATCAGATTCTGGTTTGCTTGCCTAGAAGGTCCAGCTCATTTGGGGAGGTTTGAATGTGTAATCGAACTCAGCGGATCAAAAACAGTGAACCCCTGTTCTGCCTGAACACCCACGTCGCAGTTCGGTTGATGTGAACTCTGTCGCAGTCCAATTCATATGAGTACCAAGAGGACCGGAAGACACACTAAAAGCAGGAAGTGGACTGTTGAAGGCTAGAAAACATTCTTAGTTTGAATGTTTCTCTTTACATCAAAAAGTTTGCACATCAATGGACATAATGAGTCTCTGTTGAGAAACGGTGTTTGAGAAACTTTATATGTTACAGCTCTGATGAGTAATGTTTGTGAACTCAGAGGACGTGGATGACATCATGCAGAAACTTTACATCAACGTCTCCGAGAGCCCTCTGCCAGGTTGGCACATCCTGCAGAGTTATGCTTGTTTCCTGTGTGTCTCCCAGTGCTTCTCAGCTTGCTGCTGGTGGGGATGGCTTGGTGGTGGTGGAGGGAAGAGGATCGTCCTTCGAGGTCTTTCACATTGCAGAACTTTTCTCTGAAAGAGTCCCAGAACCCACTCATCGATCAGGGGCCTCCTCTTGGTCATAACACGACTTTAGTCAAGGTAAGTTCAGGTGAAACACTTAGTAGTACACTGCTGTAGGAATGCATTTGCCTCATGTAGATTTCTTCTGTTTTCACTCCAAGTATTTCAGATTCAAAAAAACCCAAAACAAACTAATTGTAGTAACAGACATCATTAATCTGAGGTAATGCAAAACGGAGTTGTCAAACTATGATTCATTTAATAAGTTGGCTAAAACCTGTCAAAACTAATCTGGCCACCTTCTACCAGAAACAGCTGACGTCAATAATTGGCACTGAAACTTTTCACATCACTGGGAAAAGAAAATTTGGCTCACTGTTCTGCATGGAAAATTAATTCTTCCACACTGAAGAAGTTTTAAGGATTAGTGGCCTCTTTAAATCATGCCACTGTACCTCAACCAGACTAAAAGCCAGACTTTAAAATTGTTTGGACACATATGTTCCAAAATGTTCTCCTTTAGCCTTCCAAGTTGGAGTGAATTTGATCCTGATGTTTTTAAGATCGGAGCTTTAGTTGGTATTGCTTATTCAATATTTTTAGCCTACTTTATGTTGTTAGACAGGTTCACAGATGATGACTGCAGAACCAAATGATGGTTAATCCATAATTTCATAGGAGAGACTGTCTGCGCTAGCAATTTCACTGAAGTTATCTTTGATGTCAAAATTAGTTTGATCAGAAACAATCAACTGCAAACAAAAACAAAGTAATATTTGTGATATTCTTCTTGCAAACAGTAATTCTATTTGAATGGGTGTGTTTACATATTTGAACAAGGTTTAGCCTTTAAAAATTGTAGGAAATCTTTTATTCTCTTTTCAACTTAATTTTTTTTTAGAACATTTATACAGGTTTGTCAAAGACCACAAAGCTTTTTTATATGGTGACTTGATATATCAATGGTTTGCCATGAAAAATATATAAAAACAGGCCTTAAAATGGATAATGTAAAAGGAATGTTTCATAATTCTTTTCATAAATCTTTTTTCAAGTTTCTGTGTCATGGTCACCAATTGTTTGTGCTTCTTCAACGAGTAAAAGCTACTTCTTCTGTAACCACATGACAAATGGGTACTTCCTCTTCACAAAACCAGAACAGCAACCATGTACAACACCACCAGTTGTCAATATAAACTGTTGTGCAGAGAGCGTGAAAATGCTTTGACCTTTTGTCTCTTATATGCTTTTGCTTTTCTCTTCCGTTTTGCAGTTCCTGTGATTTATTTTTGTAAAAAAGGTTCACATGGTAAAAGCATAAGCTCAAACAGCATTTAATTTAGATTTATAACATAACTTTCAATAGTAACTAAAGCTAAACCTTTTAGACTAAGTTCAAAAACGTCTGAATATTTTATCCTTTTCATTATTCCATGTTATCACTCATGAATTAAGCTCTTGTGGTTGTTTCACACTTGCAGCTTCTCAGACTCATTTTGTGATTTCCAGTGAGTTCAGTAAATAACGTGGCTCCCATTCCGACAGGAAACTCCTCTCAGGCTGGATTTGAACTCTGACTGAAGGTGCAGCGCCAGCAGACAGCTGGCTGTGCCCCTCCTGCTGATTTTTCATCATGGCAATAATGTTTCATTATTGCCATGACACTCCCAGACTTTCAGGCTGTCGTTTCCCAGCATCATTTGGGTGTGAACATCGTAGAAGTAATGACATGAATGTCTGAGGTCTGGCAGATGTGGTGGCCCGCCATCATTACTTGGTTCCCTCAGTTTGATGGGTAATAACTTTAAATTAAATTCTTTTGGATTTCTGCTGTTGATGTTTATGATTCACTCTGAGAGCCTTTGTGCACAAATGGTCAACAGAATATCAAATTATTAGCAAGGCAACACATTTATTAGGTTAAGAGTTGCAACCTGAGACTCTTTGACATCTAGAAGAAATAGGAACTCATAATTAAAGTAATTGGGTACCTGAATGTTAGAATGGACCACAGTTTTCTCGGATCAGATTTTCTAGTATATTGTGTGAAGATGCTGGGGTGTTGAATTACTGAGAGGGTTTGGTCAAGTTGTTTTTGTTTTTCAGAGAGTTAAAGAACAGTACATGCAATATATTTAAGTGCACTTTGTCCTTGGGCATTTAATAGGATTATAAACATAAGTATTAAAGAGTAAATTGGGAGGTAACTTAATAGTTTTCTTGAGTAAAACAATTGTTCTTTTGGTTTGCTCTTATTACCATCAGCTCTGTGGATGTACTGTGACCTACCTGCTGCCCAATGAGTACTTGACTAATTTAAAATATGCATTATTGTTTTAAGTTCTGAAGACAAAATGCGCAAATTAAATCTAAACTGTCAAAAGGTAGAAAAAAAGCCCCTGATTTCATTGAGTCCAATCAAATATTGTCACATTCCTTTTTTTCCCGTTATTGAGTTGAGATTTTGGTTTCTGATCACATTAAAACACTGAGCTTAAACTTCAAGTGGCCTCTTTACATAAAAAGATTTATTCTGCCTGAACACTGAAAGGAAATATTCCTGCATTCCAGTTCAGTTTTATGTAAAACGGCAGGATTTAATCTTCTCTACCTTCAGTGCCTTGGATCATTTGATCTCTAAACACACAATGCAAAAGGGTAAAAATCTGAAGTGTATGACATGCTTCTATATTCAACCCCTCTAGTCTGGTGCTCTTAAATACACATTAAATCCACCTGTATGTAAAATACAGCTGTTCTGTTAGACCTGAAGTTGTACCTCAAAGTCCTTTCCACAGTTTTCCACAGATTCCCAACTGAATTTAGTTCTGGACTTTGACTAGACCATTGACACATAAATATGCTTTGATCTCCTCCCAGTCTGATGTCTTCTGTAATTGTTACAGGTTTTTTTTTTTAATATAATTTCATCAATACCAGTTATTAATTGGATAATTTAAAAAATATGTAGCAGTGTCAGAATACAGGGGATCAATACGAATGTTTTTTAAAAAGCACTGAAAACTGCATTATATTCCTTCCTCTTCATGTAAAATCCATGTTTTTGGTTATAATGGTTGTGTTTATAATAAGATCAAATTTGAAACATTTTCAAGGGTTTGTGCAAGCAACTGTATAAGTATTATTTAATTTTTCTGTTTTTTCAATTGTACCATGAATATTTTGCCAGCATTTCTTTGGAATGAATAAATAAAAGCATCGTTACGTTTTTTTTTTTTTTTTGGTGCAAATGGTGTGGGTAAAGCGATGAGGGTTTCTTTGACCTATAATTTGCTTTCAGAGCTCTTATTGTGAAATGGGAACACGTTTTTTTTTTTTTTTTTTACATTTCTGTGTTTGAATTCCTGACAGTTTATTTAAGTCTTTTATTCTTGTGCAAATCTCATTGACATTTAGTCACACCTTCAGGACAGACGTTTGAGAGATAATGCGGTAACTGTGCTTTTGTGTTCTACGGTTTGTATTTAAGGAAGGGTTTATTTATTTTGGGTGGAATTTCATATGTTGCAAAAGTTTATTTGTACTTGGTACGACACTGCTGATGCTGTATTAGATGAACCCAATAAATTCATGTTTTGGGTCTTATCAGTTCTTTCACTTTGATCGTCTCCTTTCTGAGATCTCATTTTTTATGTTTATAAAAACACACTTGTAATGAACTATTTCTTCCTTTATCACATCTGTGACATAGCAAACACAGCTTTGTGAATTTAATATCTTGGGTAAAGTGACACACCTGCTTCAAGCCTTATGTAAACTGAGATCAGCTGAACAAATTAACATTCAAGTCCTTTTGTTCCAGAACATCAGCTTCTTTCAATACATGCTCAATGACCCTTTTTACTATGTTCATTCAAACAACACAGCAAGCCCTGCATCAATGAATCCCATTCTTTAATTATATGTAATGCTCCAAAAATAAAAACTACTTAAGGACTGAAATTATCTCCTTCTTCTTACATCATCTTATTTTCCATTTATGTTACTCTCATGTTGAGATTATTTTTATGGTTCACCATAATTTTCTAAGAAAATGTATGATTTGTTGGATTATTTGGTTTTGTAAGGAAAAAGACTAAATAATTGTGTGTTATTCCCTGATTCCCTGAACTGTAAAGCTAAGTTTGCACTGAACTGGTTTCACAATGTCCTCTCAGTCTTGATATGTAGCATGTTGCACATATCTCAGAGAAACCGCAATTCCATCTTGCATTCTCAAATGCTTACCTCATTACTCCCTGTGGAAAGTGACGCATATCCATTTTGGACTTTTTTTCATTCTCAAAAATTCAGGGTCCTCCTCAATACTATTGTTTTGTCTCTTTAGGGGCTCTCTTAAGAAATGAAGAGACTGTTGTTTCTTGTCATTCTCTGGAGATCTTCTAAAAAGTGACCCCACCTGTCACTTTTCCAGTGATCACCATTTTCAGTATAAATACTCCCTTTACTTTGTTCACTGTCAGATCTTTCTGTTATTTTTATCTTCTGTTTTCAGTCAGTGCAACATATTTAATTTTCTGGTGTTTTACATCCACTTTTCTATTTTCTATTGTTTTCTCTCAGGGCTTTTTTTCACTTAAGTTTTTTATTTTTTTTACATGCCATCTTCAATATATTTGCATTTTTTGTTCTTTGAAACCCTCTTAGAACATTGATACTAACTGAGAAGATGCCTGCATTCACTCCCTCTGCAATACATAAACTTATGCTCTTATGTTTTCCACTTTGTCTCTAGATTTTCTAACTGTATTTTTGGAAAAAAAAAAAAAAAAACTCAGCATAATAAAACATGAGTTTCCAGCTCCAGTCTTGCCAGTTTTTGATGTTTCTGCTCAATCACAGCTGTTTCAAATAATCCAGCTACCTGGTTAGCATGCTATAAAGTTCTGCAGCGGCTGTTAATGACCCACCATTTGGTTCAGGTGCGTTGAATCAGGGATGGAACTAAAAACGTACATGAAACCATCCCTGGAGGACTGACTTTGGATATCAAGTCAGTGTAATACTCACACTCTCTTTCTCCCATTCCACCTTCAGTCATCTTGTCCTGCTTATTTGGACCTCTTCAAACATATGTGGTCTGTGTTATTAAGGCTCTTTTAGTAGCTATATCATCTTAACTATGAAAGTCAGGTGGAAGGAAAAACTGTTGGAACAAATGAAACAGGGATAATCACAACCTTTGTGAAACAAAGACTATTAGACATTTTGGTGATACTCCAGAAGGTGTGAACTGTGTCTACTTCAAAAACCACCACACACAGATGTGCCCAGGATGTGAGCTACAACCATTGTGTTGATGTTTTAGGTCACACCTGACCTGGACTAAATACAAAATGTAGAGGAGAGTTGTCTAATATTATACTAAAAATTACTTTTTTCATTTAATTTGATGTTTCTACAGTTCCTCAAACCATTGAGGATCAGAGGAACTACATCTGCTAGTGTTGTCCCACTTTATTCAGTCCAAAGACACATACATTTTCATCAGGAACTGCATGTGTAGTTACAGCGGGGGTTATTTGATATTCCAGATATTCCAACTTATGCCACAAATGGCATAAGTTGTTTAACGGCAATATCGGGTGACACTGTGCTGGACTCAACACCTGACTAAAAAAAGCACTAAGGAGTGTTGACAAGAGAAAGATAAACTCTTGAGCCAGCATTAACATAATCAGATATTTTCAAACATCTGGGTTTATTGAACACGTCAGAAGAGCCATCATCTCTATGCCAAACTGGATTGATATAATGATTTATACAACATTACATGGACATACTTCTCAATATGCACACATTTCTGTTTTAAAAGTCTGTTTGAGAATAATATAAAACATTTTTAGAGACTCTGAACTTTGGGTTTTCATTTGGCTGAAAGTTATAATCATCAAAATAAATAAATAAATACAATTTTTTGATGGGTTGCTTCTCAAGTTGTACTTTTGACTTCACCCTGTTCATTTTATTTTTGCTTTTCTTTAGATAAGTGTTTACCTAATTCTCTTCAGCTTCCTTCTCTTTCTCAGTCTGATCCAAATCAACCACCATTCTTTTGTCTGTAATCAGCTTCTCTTTGCTACTTTCTCTTCATTCTCCACACAGCTGGGATTCTCCTGTTCTCTTTCACCTGCTGCAGTTCCCAGACTTTACCACAACATGCCACCTGTACATCATTTTATTGAAATCTCCCAAGTAAATCTCTCCTGTTGACTCTGCCAACTATTCAGCATTCTGACAATTCTGTCTGTAATGAATCTAAATGATTTCCTTTTTATGCCTAAGAGGTTCATTAAACTCTCAAACAACCAGATTTACTCCGATGTGTTCATTATTGATTTAATAGAAGTAAAAGATGCATAAGCCGTCTTTTACTTCTTTTACTGTTGATTCTAACATTAAGTAATGTTAGATTCAACATGACCTAATGTAACCTAATGTTTGATCAAACATTAGGTTACATCTAATCTAATGTTTGATCAGACATTAGATTGTTTTATCAAAACATTAGATTAAAACAAATCTAATGTTTGATCAAACATGAGATTAGGTAATGTTAGAATCAAACTGTTTTAGTTTTTATTTAACTTTCTTATTCCAGGAATGATTAGCTTAAATTCCCCCACAAAGAGTTTCCTGTAAAGCTTCAATAAATCTATAATCTCCAGATAAAAGTACAATCTATGCTTTGGTTTACGTTATCTGCAGGCTGAAAGGTCAGAATGTTGCCTAAATGTTTTCACTTTTGTACAATTTGTGTAATTACTCACTTTTGTGTTCAACTGTCTCTGAACTTATGGCCATTGTATTGTTCCAGAAATAAAGTATTGGTTTTTGTCCCTCTCTTTCGATCAATACGTACAAGCATTTGAAGAAGGCCTTTTTTTTAATCAAATACTTGCCATTAAACATTAATTGAATGCCTTTATCTAACACAAGATAATCTATTATTATGGGAGTGCTGATGCAACGCTGTCCCTGCACAAAGGGACATATTCTGGAGCCGCTGTCCCTGTACAAAGGGACATATTCTGGAGCCGCTGTCCCTGTACAAAGGGACATATTCTGGAGCCGCTGTCCCTGTACAAAGGGACATATTCTGGAGCCGCTGTCCCTGTACAAAGGGACATATTCTGGAGCCGCTGTCCCTACAAAGGGACATATTCTGGAGCCGCTGTCCCTGTACAAAGGGACATATTCTGGAGCCGCTGTCCCTGTACAAAGGGACAGCGTTGCAACATGTGATCATGTTTCACAATAACTTCATTGTTTCTTTCTGACCAAAAATTTATTTATTTCACAAAAAAAGTAAAAACAGAAAATAAACTAGACTGTGAAGTCATACTGTTTTCCTGGGCGATTTCCAGTAATGCTGTTGTAAGCTTTCCCAAAATTCTTCAGCTGTCTCTCTTAGCTTCAGATAACAGAAGCATTGAAAATGTACAGAAGCCCAGAGGAAAGACCCTGGCTGTCACAATAGTTTTTTGAAACTTTATTTCTTCAGTAGGATTCAAACCCTTCTTCAGGAAATGTGCGTGAACTGACTGAAGACAGTGAATAGAAGGTCCATATTATCTACCCCAAAACCACAGCAGGAGCACCAGGTAGTCAAGGCCATTTTACACTAATGATTATCTTTTGAGAGAAATTAATTTGTTTTTTGTATGAATTTAAATACAACTTTTTTTTTAAATAGATATTTTTAAACAGCGCTCTAGCAAAAATAAGTGGAGCAGAATGCATCTGCTGGCTTTCATCCTGCTCCTGCATGTCAGCTGATGTAACAGCCGCTTCAGCGCTTGGAGTCACAGTCAGTGCGTTTCAGTCACCGCCCAGCGGCTCCAGAACATGGCAAGGCTGCCTCAGGAAACCGCAGCTGAGACTGATTTGACTCAAGTCAGAGAGGAGAGCGACGATCTATCTGCATTAACAGGTAATAAAACTTTGAAACTGTTTTCCCTCAAACAAATAAGGCTCGTTTAGCATCCTGGGAGTTTGGAGATCTGGCTGAGTTTGCGCATTAAGCCATAACGGGAAATGACATCTGAAACTTTATGTTTCCTCTCGTCCAGTTCATTTAAGAGCCTGACGACTTCGAAGGTCTTTTTACTTTAATGAAGCCCCGATACAGAGACCCCCGCGTCTCTAAAATAGGTGCATGTGTCTGCGCCAATGTGCTAAATATACTAATGTAACTGAAACTCAAGCGCTTTCAGTCGCGCTTCTCAAAACGCAAGATCGTTTTACAAAAAAAGAAAAAAAAAAACATGAGGTTTCAACACATTTTGATATTCGTGACTCATTGATAAGAGACTAAAAAGAATAAACTAGCAAATAAATACATAAAAACTACAAGTGTTTAACGACTTTTTTTGCTTACCAGTTTTGTTCCTACAAATGTTAGTTTTCTTTTGATACTGTCTCATTCATCAACGTTTACTGGCTTTCAAATGTTGACTCATTTGTCCCTATAGTTAACATTACCAGAAACTGATTAATAATTAATTATTGCCTTAAATTTTTGTTTCTGCTCCTCATATAACTATCTGGAACAAAATATTCAAATGTATTTGGATTGAAAAACTCATTATACGAATACAGTGCTCGACTTGATTGTCCACATTTGCTGAGCTGGAGGTTGATTCGGAGTCTTTGTTTTAGATTTTACCAACAGCATGGGGTAAAAATGATGTCCTCAGAAAAAATTTACAATTTGTGGCTATCGGCGTGAAGAGTTGTTTCTGTTTCTGTTTCTGTAATATTCCATTATGTCAACCAGAAAGGGCTCAAACAATGAGAGAAAAAAGGAAGTTTTGTTTCAAGTCATTGCCTCTTTTTATTTCCTAACTTTTCTACTGGTGGCTTTTTGAAAGTAGAAGTCACCATGGTGAAAAAACTCTTAAAGGGATAATTAGTAGTCAAGAGCTGTCAGAGTTTTTTTTGAGGACGCATCTTCGATAGCTTAAAAAATGATGCACATTTGATCTATTTTTGTGAACACAATTGCTTTTGTATGATGGTTATTTGATCTGTGGCTATTTTCTCAAATGAACAGCCGTCTCTTTGCCATTCTGAGAGGAAGATGGATGATTTCACATCCTCCCTTCAACAGCTGAGTCTACCCTGCAGAACCAGATCCATCTCTTTGTAGTCCAGCTAACACAAATCAAATAGATGCCATTTAAAGTACTAAACTACTTAATACATAAACCTGAACTGCCTTGCATAGATTGTGATAAGAATGTGATAATTCCCGATTCAGTTCCACCAGACTAGCAGCAATCAGCAAACACCGGGTGAAAATGCATGTCGACTGAGCTTCTCAGTCCAACTCAGTTCCTAAGAGCGTTATTAAATGGCATAATGAGGAGTATTTTCACTACTTAAAGGGACTATATAATGGTGTTGTGTGTTAGGGGCTCTTCTGCTGACTGTGTTCAGTCAGACGGCTCTCCGAACGCTTTTTTGCCTTCAAATAAAGGAACTTAAAGTAATTATTGAAACAGACTCTCATTCTTTGATAACAGAAGTTTCCATGACAATTGCATTACATCCATCACACCACAAAGCATTAACTGTAGAAAAAAGTGTTACAAAGGTTGCACCACTGCAAAAGTCACACTCTTCATTCCTATAAATGTAAAAACTAAGACCTGATGTTTAACAAACTGCACCATCCTATGTGCCATCCTTATGAGTGGGTGACTTGAATGGACATGAGAAACTCTAAGATGTCTTTACATATAAAACAGATGAATCTTTAAAATGGTCGGTTTAAATGATTAAAATAATTAAATGTTTCCAGTTGAAGCAAGACATTTTGTTCAGACATTACTTCACTTTATTACTCTATTAATAATCAGCTAATAATAAATCAATTATGGTTGGAAGAAAATTGACAGTTTTCTAATTTGTAGCTTGTGCATCTAATCCCGACATAAATGTTTTTAAGTCTTGTTAGGTAAAAAGCAGAAGCGCGTATATATTTAGCAGTTTCTGAAACTGTTAGCTTGAGTTTTACATTTCCCCTAAGTGATCATATATTGGTATCTGACAGTGTCTGTATTTAAAACTTTGAATCCCTTCATGAAAAATATAGTTGCATGCTTTATGCCTGTTGTAGCCTGTTTAGTTTTTAATATAATACTAAATTTATGGGAACGTGTCTGTCATGTTGTGTTAGATTATGAAAGTTAAATATGTTGCAACAACATGTTACATTTATTACCGTTACCGTCAGGCCAGATGCTTCCTTTTGCTCTTTCAGAAGAGCAAAAGGAAGCTCTTGAAAATTTCAAGAGCTTCCCAAAATAATTGGCAGACTCTTATCACAAATTATATACAAATTATATCAGTTCCCTTCAGCAAAGTTTGTGAATACGTCCAGAAATGGCATTTGTTGGTTTTCTCCTTTTTAATAAATATAAAAATATATATATTTCTTTTTACAACATTGTCATAATCGAGTGTTTCTTCTTTTTAATACAATTAAAAATGTCTTATTTTTAATGAAATTTGGAAGAAGGCTGTAGCATAAACTGTTCGAGCAAAGCTGGTAGCACATCAGTGAACTGTGCTGAATCTTTTATCTAAAACATTACAGGTCAAAGCAGCCCCCAAAACTACATAAATCAAACATCATTCTAGGCTTAAATTCCATGTTACTTTAGTTCTTAATTGTACCCAATTGGCAAATGTAATACAATGGCTTTACGGTGTCATTTAGACACCACAATGTGCAAACTTCTGTTTTAGCTTTGAGGAAGATGATTTGCAAAATGGGTTTTGTTTGTGCCTGGTTGTTTTGGTAGTAGGAGCATACTTTTCATGTAATGACTTAATGTGTAACCATGCCCATATACTCTAACTTATTTCAACAATTTTTAACAAATGGAAGAAGAATTGATTTGCCATCACACACCCAAGTATTTCTTCATCCTATATTGATTGACGTTAGAGCAGAATCCAGTGTATGCAGTCTGTACAACATTTTATGTTTCAATAACATAAAGAAAAACTATAATAGTCTTAGTTTTTAAATTAGCATATAAACCCTGTTAAGTGAAGTTGTCAAATATCTAGTACATATTTTATTGGCTGCAAATATGCCAGAGTTGGAAATTTTACCTTGAAGACAAACTAATTAAAATATTGCTTTGACTTCAATCATTTAGTTTTTTCAGCACTTTGGGTTCCTTAATTTCGGGTTGTGTTGTGTTAGACACAGATTGCTATAGAAGTATTCTTTGTAGTTTTATCCTGGTTGGAGAGAAATGTTCTAGTCTATGGTCTCTTTACCGCCTGGTTGTTTGTTAATATGGAGTGTCTTTGTATCATATTTTCAAATGTTATTTTTGTCAATTTCATGTTCGTCTTTTGTGACTTATTAGCTTCCATTCATCTCTGTTTTGTAGATTTCTCCCTTCATGCTTTCACTCTGTTTAATTGGTTTTATGTGTCTTGCTACACTCATCACCTCCCCCGGTTTTTATTGCCCAGTGGTTCTGTCAGTCTCTGCTGGATTATTATTTTTGCCTGTTATAAACCCATATTCCTGGCCACCATTTTTCTAGACAGACTACATCTCTGTACTGTCTTTATATATATATATATGTATTTTTTGATTCTCTATGAAATTTATTATTCCTGCCTTTGAATCATCCTCTCCAACAAAACAAACACATACATTGAATTGTTTTCCTTTTATTTCTAGAATGCCAATTTTTCAAATGAAGCATTGACTGTTGCTAGGGGTGAAAAAATACCATCATTTTATAATATGTTTTACTTAATCTTCAAAGCTTTTACAGATGTAAAATTAGATATTTTTTTAATCCTGTACATGCAGTACATGGAATATTTACAGTACATGGAAAGATTATAATGACCTAATGGAGAGTAATGATGGTGGAGGGGGAAAACTAACTATAAAGGCAATTTCATTTGAATAAATAAAATAAATTCATATCCTATTCAGATGAATAGAATTTTCATCATTTTTTGCTTTTTTGGGCATAGATGATTTAATTTTGTTAAAATGATATAAAAGACAAGAAGGAAAGAAATCATGAAAAATTAAAATTCTCCCAAGATACAGAGCGTGACTAAAATGCTGCTTTGTTAGTTTCCAAACACGCCATCTTGATAAAACACAAAGAAGAATATATCCAAAATGGGTGGGTTCTTCATTGTGCTCTTTGAGGTTTTCTGTTAACCCTCATCCTGCTTCCTGTTACCGCCTGTAGTGCAGAAATAGATATAACTGGTTAGTCTGTGATTCATTATAAACTAGCCTAAGAAAATACTGTTTGTGGACTTTTGATAGATTGGTGACTCGTTGGGGGTAAATCCTATCAATCTAAAGACACTTTGTCATTCTGTACATTAGCAACAGGTTACAGGTTAGATCGTTATACTGCTGCCTGGACATGCAAATAGTTGCATGTAAACTAATATGAACAATTACCAGCCAACATTTACAAGCAAGATATATTCTTTAGGGCCTTATCTGTGACTAAATGAAATTATTTGTACTGTTTATTGCAACCTCCTGAGATTCAAAGCCTTTTTCAAGACCTGCACTCTTACTGTACAGATTAGAACATGCTACTTTGAATTAGGCCACAGGAAACCTGAAAACCTCACACATAGTATGTTTGCATGATTTTATCTGTTTTCTATACACTCCTTCCTGCTCAGAGCTACATTGAGTATTTGTAGCTCTCCTTGTTTCAACAATATGAAACAAGGAGGACAACTTGACAGTCTGAAAAATCTACAGTTATGTCCAAAGTCAGTCTTCTGGATCCAACATATTTGAGCTGGTTCCCTCGTTCAACACACTAAAGATTAGTAAGCCTGTGCAGAATATTTTGACAAGCTGCAGAGATAGTTGGATCTTTTGAACTATCTCAAAAGCAAAGATACATCTAA